TGATGGTATAGTACGGAATACGATCGTACTCTTTTTTCTTTGTTCTTTCTATCCTATCTATTACCTACTCTTTCTTAAAGTTTCCTATTTTTATCTGGCACGATATTTCTTACGGCTGATTTATGAGATTGAGATTTTGCGTGCAAGCGGCATAGTCTCTTTCAAGTATATTTTATGTGAAAACTAAACAAATCCTTAATATATGGAGCTATTGACCAGTCAGGGATCTTTGTACAACCTCGTGTTTAATTGTGAAAGTCAGGAAGATCACAATAACACTTCTGTTTCAGCCCAGACACTTGCGTGTATAATGCCTGGCAGTTTTGACACCAGGAACAATACCGACTTTGATCTAGTCCTATTGAAGCAACTGTCAAAACTTAATGAAAAAAGAGGGATTTTAGTTTTAAATTCCGCGGTTAAAAGGAGATCATTTTAGTAATAGAAATTTCGCTTTTAATTTTAATGTTTTATTTCAAACGCGCACAAAAGAAATTACTTTACTTCATCGCATCAATCCGGAAAAACTCTTGTGTATTCGATCATTTCTTTCGTTGTACACAAGAGTTTGCCCCCAGGTAATTATTTCTTTAATTTAAACAGAACAACACTTTTCTTTTAACTGGAACTAAAAAATACCTTCTGCGGTTTGCCATCAGATTGTTGTTTTTGAAAGACTGACGACCAAACAAAAATAAAAAATCCCATTGCTAAAGCCTGTCAGCACGCCCCTTCATTTTGATTTCCCTTTTCCGACAAAAACGTCCTTTCGATTGATCAGGTAGGATGTATACATTTTGTATGTAATGCAGTCCTATTTACTATATGGGATAGTAGAATCGAACAACACATGAGGTCTTCACATCGGTTTTACCCTCAGGCAATAATGTAGTAAATGGACGCGATATAACGAGCAGGATTGTCGTTTAGTTTGTACTAGATTAGTGTGATAGTAAAGACAACCATTCGATTCTTCGGATTGTTTGTGTTTTTTACTAATTCAAGTTCTATTGGCATTCCATAATGGGTTTTCTACATTCAAATGGGCCTTTGGATTGCTGATATTTGTCCATGAGCTCTTAGACAGATGTCACCAACCCGTTATGTGGTTGAACCAATCAGAAAGCGGCATTTTTGGTGTTACGAAGCCTTATCTTAGCCGTGAATGGGACTGATGACAATAATTAATATTGGACCAGCCCTATACAAAAACCATCATAAAAAATATATATACATCCATTTAACGACCGGACAGGAGATGCTTGTACCCTTAGGCTAGGGTACCTAGCAAACTGACCTGTTTTTATTTTCACCCGTCTGTGAATCTTTTTGCATTTTATCTATATATACTTTAAAAACAGATCAAGTGATGGAGGACCTATATCTAGTGATGACTAAATGAGATTGAGCTCTTGTTTCATCCCAAATTTCACTTTCATTTCCGGCAGCATCACAAATTCAACCGGTGTCCACGTCAGGATTATCACTCGCAGTGCCACAAGTCACTTTACTGAAAAAGTGCTTTTCTTTTATCGCTTTCTTTCCAAGCAATCAATTCTCCGCAGCATTATGATCTTCTTTGTCGAATACTATTCATTTGAAAGGAAAACTTTTCTTATTTTACCGCAAAAAACGCCTACTAAGAACTTAAGAGGCGTCCGGAAGACACTAGCGACCATGAGATTATATATCATAGAAAAACCTTCTTGTAATTTTTATCGTTTTGTTACTATGTGAAATGAAGGTTATAGTGACATATCGCTTCGACTACAGCTATAGCGCTTATCTTCAGTTTTTGTCAGTAGTAACGAGACGACGTGTCATAGATTTTATGCTCGCATTACGAGAAGTTATAGGACCTTTTTTAGAGCTCGAGTTCAAACTCACAACAATCAGTCAACACACTCAACAGACGCAGTTTCGACTGTTATACTTGCAATACATTGTCCTAATTATGAACCGTTGTTGGATCGCGTGTTTGTATCCTTAACCACGAACTGACAACCAACTTTTAATGTTTTGTTTCATAAAAAATGAGGAACACATAGGAAAAAAATTGAATGGGATGTAAACTTTCGCTTTTATGAATTAAGCTGTTACTATAACTAAATGAAGACAACATGCTCTTGCCTCATGTCGCTATAGCGCTTCTTGTAGAGCAATAAGCGAAGGCTATAAATCTTATAATTAACGATAGGCTAATGGGTAGTCCGAGCTTGAAACATTCGACCTTATAATAATGAATTCAAGCACTTCAGCTCTATCAGCCGGTTTCGGTTTTTGCGTCCATATGAAGTAATTAAGCATAGCATGATTTAAATGTGAATGATTCATGGCCCAGGCCCAAGCCATGAATAGCTTCTTGCGAAGTGGTATGCTTGATGTATTCTTTTAGTGCTGAACTCTCTGAAAAAACGTGTGCGTTTTTCGGTTATTGATTTCTAGTGGAATTCGAGTTAAAGGTAGATCATATTTCATGGGATTTAGATCCGGCCTAAAAAAATCATATTATTTCTAGGATAATCTTTAGGGCCAGTCCTGTTGTTTATTGGAGCAATGAAGCTTAAAGAGGGTGAATCCGAAAAAAAGGCCCATTTGGATATTGTTTAAAAAAGCGTTTATCATATTTGCTCGATATGTCATTTCGCCGCTAAAAAAATCAACCGAAAATGAAGAAAAAAAGGCAATAGAGCCATCACAGTAGTTTCGATCGTAAATAAATGGCAAGCGTGTCTCTAGGGGTATTGATCTGAGTTATAAAGCACTTTGGATATTGTCGTTCAAAGATACTTGGATCTATATGTTCATTAATTGACCGAAAGAGCTCTCAGTCCCGACATAACATGCCTAGACCTTTTTCAGTGGGACATTTACATTCGCTGTGTTTATCATTTAATAATATTTCGAGGCCATTTGTAATATTTAATCAAGTAAAACAAAGTACATTAAGGCCTAAGTATCCAAAAACAGATTTTAGTGAGTGAGCTGAGATGAATTATTCAAAATCATCAACAGGATCTCGTAGTAGCTGAATTATTCATTTTAACTACTAAGATGCTACATTTGGTAGGCTTGTTTGTGGCAAGGGATAGTGAGCGATCTCTAGTTTATTGTATTCTCTTCCTTTTGGTCACAAATTTATCAGTCGACAAATCACTAAGGAAGAAGAATCAGATAGCAATACTTTCAGCTTCGATGTTTTTTTCTTATTCAAGCTTTTAAATGTGTGCGGTTCGGTCACAAGGTCTGTTAGGTCGAAGTGAGCTGCTTCATGACATACAAAAGGCTGTTATAAAGTGGCCTTTATTCTAAGGGACGGCCTGCTGATATTTTGTTAGCGAGCATCTACTTTCTATAGTCATAGTAGGAAATTTATCAGTTGTCGTTGCTTGATGGCTTTTTATCTACACAATTCCCTTAATGGCCTGAGCTAAGATCCGTGTCTATGCGTACCATCCAATTTCAAAACACAACTTATACTGCACATGCTGAAATAATGGAATAAAATACATCTCGAGGCTATGTAGGGGGAGAATGGTAAAATGCTATGGGTTATTATTTTTTTAAGGATTTGGTTAATTTTATGGGCGATCAGAGCGTGTTGCAGTTGCCATCCATCATGGAGTAGGTCAGGACGCCGTAGACCATGAAGTGCTTTCTTTTGTTTTCATGAAATAAATCCTTTTCTCTACAATTATGAACCTAAAAGAGCCGACATTAAGAGCTATTTTCAAATTCGTGTACAGTATTACTATTGGCCATTCGAGACGATAGATTCTAATTTCAAACAAGAACATTTGTTTTCCGTGCGTAATGCGTAAGCCAACGGTGCTCGTCCCACGAGAAACCACTTTAGGAAAATGTGTATGGATTGCTAAGCTATTCTGTATGAGTGTTCCGTGTTGCTAAATGAAATATGTGAGTGTGATAGTGAGTTTGTGAGTGTTACTATCTGGCGTGACAGTGGAGCACCTGTTCAGAAGGGTTGCTAGGCTTTTTCGAGGGCATATTGTGTCCTTGTTTTCTCGGTTTGTGCCCTGAAGGTATTTTCAAACTGCTTCATAATTCGTCCTTCTGATGTTTTCGAACTTTTGGTCGAAAAAATACATTAAAGCTTCCAATTGAGTATATCAAAAAATTCGGTTTATACTACCCCTGCGAATAATCAACAAGTCTTATTGAGAAAACTCTATAACAAGGCTTTTGATCATTGTCCTAGTACAATTACCTAACGGTATATCATAGCAGTAGATGTACCGAGGTGTAAAAACTGAAAAACTACTCCGATCACCCTCTCACGCTAATGAAACTAGTCGAGAAATAACGACAGTGACCACAGCCTCGGAGCTCGTGGTTTTGTTTACCATCCCATCAAATTGAAATATCTTAAATACACACATCCTTGTGGATTGTTTGCTATGGCTTTCTCTCTCATTCAGAGCAAAGATCTTTGACGGGTTGTGGTGAATTGTGATGTGTGTTGAAATGTTTTCGTTACAAACTCGAGTAAATGAAAGTTTTAGCGCTTTTTAATGGGTTTCATATGACGTGGCCATGTTTGTAGTGTATGACATCCGGTCGTCCGGACAGGACTCAAATCAATCTAACTCGCTTTTTCTCAATGAATCCTGTACTAAAGCCTTACGATCGACTGCTACCTTCTATTATTCTACAAATGTACTCCCTTCATCGCATTTCAGTCTCATAAACTTGATTCTATTTATATGTGACTATTGAGCCACAAAAGGTATTTCACTTGTGGCATGAAATGAGTACATGCATCTTTCGCGTGCTATTTTCGAGCCTTGAGTTTTTATAGGAGTCTAAGAGGCGAATCGTATAAAGCCAGGGTATTTATCGTCGTGTCATGTTGAATCTTTTTTGAAAGTACTGCGTAAGAGGCTTCACTCAATTACCAAAATTATGCGCACATCAATATTGTTCGATTACGGGACATCTGCTGAAGCGAAGCGGGATTGGGTGTTGTAAAAGGAAACCCTTCTAGACCAGTCGAAACCGGCCAATGAGAAAGCTCATGGTCACAGTCAATTTGGCTTGCAGACTTGCTAACACACTGCCGTCAGAACACTTCGTGCGCCAAACTGGATAACTAAGAATTGGAGGTGTGAACCCAAGACGATGGCGAGCGTAGTGGAAAAGTCAACATTTCGGCGTAATTTTCAACGCTGGGTCCAGATGAACTATGGCGAGAACAGTCGTACTAAGACCATCACTCGCACTAAATATAACAAAATTTGCAGATATTTATTAGGGGAGCCACTGATTGAGACCGATGCCAAATTCAGGTTTTGGGTGAAATCGAAAGGATTTCGTATTGTACAGTCGGAGGATATGTCTGCCTATGGCACCCTATACGTTCCTGTCAAGGTCCCTCACACACGGGTACGCCGTGCTCTGAATTGATCTTTCGTCTCGCACAGAGGAGTCGTAATTCTTTGTCTCTTGTTTTGGATCATAGAGTGTAGATGCCATGTATCCGTACGAGGACAGCATAGGAGTGCGGACCCAGGTCTTGGAGTACAGGCGTGTAGCAGTAGCGGACGACTTCTTCGATATTATTAGCAGCGTTCACATCAACGAGCGGGGAATTCACGTTGGACAGAAGAAGACGTACCGAGCGGTGGGTAGATTCAAACTATTATGTATTCATGTACTCAGACATTTTACACTGACTACAACGCGAACTGTTCGAGCGCACGCTAGATATAGCATGGAACCATTCGGCGCGCTCTGTAAACTTTCTCGCGATGCTTTTATTAGTAAGCAACGAGTGCAAATAGACTTGGCCACCAAAGGTTCCAAAATTCACACCTTCGAAATATTAATATCAAGGTGGTATTTATCGCGGCACGATCTCGAATTGGGATCTGTAGGACAGTGGGGCAAATTGGTCGCATTGTTTTCCCTTGTTTTGAACGTATTTCTTTACTGCTTTCTTTTCCTTTTGCTTGTTGAACACAATAATTAGCTAACCGATCGATTTTTCAATGCTTTTTACAATGTTTTCAAGTGCTTTGAGGGAATTTGAAATAATCATTTCCAAGCCGGTGGCCTAGAGCGGATGTTAATCTGAGGGCCCAAAACAGCTTTTCATTATCATCCCGAGACAAACTACGGCAAAGAAATGTACCAAAAATCCAAAATTCGATTCTCTCGACATGGTCAACATACATGCTGAATGAACATCATTCCATCAGAGAGCTATTGTCGCAAATTAAGATTTGTGTACAAAGGTGTGAGGTGTATTATCGAACGACAGACTGCCGCGGCTCGCGTGACAAAGAAACTGTACTAGCACGAGTCTTAGTTGTATTCAAATGAGAATAGTATTTTTATGCTACAGCGAACAAGAGGCACAAGTGCATTCAGTCCATTATGAGACGCTATTTGTCCTGTTTGCGCCAAGATTAAAAAATCTCCTCTTCACGAAGCAAACCATGTTGACAAGAAATCCTTTTTTGGGATATGTCAGTTGGCGGGTTGACTTGAGCTTTCAGGAATACGACCATGCTAGACTTTTAACATGATATTATGATCAACGAGCAATAAAATTTCTTAATAGTGAAGCGTGATTATGGAAAGTTAGTCTTCGAGGAAAAAAATGAACTCCAAAACGAGTTAATTTAAGCAAGAAAGCACAGCGAGCAGTCCTGTAGAAGCCAGACATTTTAATTGTGAAATCGTTTTCAATTGCTCGAGACTATCGGGATAGAAAATTTGAATTTGACTAGGGAATTTTTTAAGTCCTTTTTTCCTCTTATCTTTAGGAGATGTAAAACTCCCTACATCAAACGCAGGGTTTTTAGTGGCGGATTTAGAAGTAAACATTGACAAGGAATATTCAAGATTTGCTATTAGGACGCGCGCCCAAAATCCTATTACTGTTGAAAAATTGAAGATTTTTTCCAGAAGTAGAACTCAATCCAACTTATTTATTTAGGATCTTGAATGTATTTATCCTTGCTCTTGAATTTTAATGTATTCACGCGCGGAAGGATGTCTCAGTTTGTCCCATAAGAAAGCCTGACGTTCAATTCCACTAAAATTTATTATTCTCAACGATTAAAAATACGACTTTTTTCCTGATGAAAAACAAAAAACCACTAGAATTCCACACGGGATGTGGATGAATTCAGTTGAAAGAATGATTTGTAAATCGCCCTTTACACACCCTCGATTTTAAAATCAAAAAGTGACTTTGAAACTCATTTTTCGGAAACATCTGTTACTGATACGCGGATGGATGGATGTTGTTTGACCGAAAAACCAATTGGATCCCTTGCAATGGATACACCTTTTCGGACCTCCGACTCTTCATCATTTATAACACGGTGCCTTTTAAGTCACCAAATCAATATTAAGGCTAGGTTTTTGTTTATTACTCGTGATTTTTTGTCACAAAGACGAACAGCGCATAAGTCGAAAGCAATCCCACAAGATCGACTCGCCTCATTAGTGTTCCGGATTTGTCCCGACACGATGCGATTGCCGCAGTGCGCGTTGAGTTTCCATTTTAGCCTTGTTTTTTAATTGACAGATTTGCCCGTAATCAGCATCAAGAAACCAAGCTCTTTTGCTGTTGAGCCAATTCTTTTGTTAGCCATACGACTTCGCGGTTAAATCGAAAAGTGAAAGCATGCCTATCTAAAGTGCGTTCCATTCATCATCCTATAGTTATTATCGAAAAGTTTTCATGGTTTTTTGCGCCCGCTAAAAATGGTAATTTTGTGGCTTTTTTTTCGCGCTATTTAGATTTTCTTTGGATGTCCGAAAAGCCTAATAGAATGAAATACACGAAGTTGATTAAGAACTGTGTCATGCTGTGATTAAAGAGACCATCCAAACAACAATTTGACTTGCGAAATACAAGGCAACTGCAATGGGTTACCAAAACAGTTTGTCTTGGGGCTTGAAACACTCGCTCTCACTGCGGACAACCAGATTGTATAAATGGCTGACCGAAACTTCACTTCTACCTCACGCAACTCGTGAGCGATATTGGTTCGTTTATGCTTGCTCGCATTTTGGATGTGTTTACCATTGCAAAGACTAATGTTTGATTGCAGTTAGCTATGGAAACATTATTAGTTTGTCGTCATTTGCTCAATTTTAGTCGTTTTTCTTGGGGCACTTGTCTCCATACGTAAAGTAGACAGGTTTTCGCTGGGCGGTCAGCTGCGATGATGTAGTCTTGATCGGTTTTCAGATCAAACTCTCTCGTGCCACTATAAGCAGACAGCTCTTTTGTTTTAAGCCCTTCGTTTTGTATAATGCTAACATCCCGTCAGAGATATTTTTCCTTCGCTTTATACCGCAGAGATCACTATGAATAAACTTTGACTCCATCTATCCCATTAAGTTCGGTGAAGCCACTTTCTCGTATAAAAGATATTAGTGATACCGACAATGTTGTTAAAAAGAACTTAATTCAGTTTAAATGGAAACATACGTCTGAATTTCAAGGGAACAAAGTTACTGTTTTGCTAGCTGAGAGAATTCAATTGAAAGTCTGTATTTAAATTAAAGTTTTACTGCTCTGCTCAGCGTGGTAAGAGGAATAGAAGGGAGGTTTTTTAAAGAGCTAAATGAGTTGTGCGAAGCAAAATAGCAAGACAAATAAAACGCAAACAGGATATTCGAGAAATGTTTTTTTTTCGCGCTTAGTACTTTTATTGGAAAGAATTTCAGGAGCCATTTTGTCGTTTGAGCGAGCTCCTCTTATAGTAAATACCATGGAACTGGATGGCATCGGACCCACAACAATGTCTAAACAATACCAAGTAAACAAACAACAAAAGCTTTGTTTTCCCTCCCTAAAATTATCATTTTTGAGATAATCATGGCATTGTACAGCAAATCCGGCGAGAAATTCGATCTCGCGTTATCTTCATGTGACGCCGCTTCAATTTTGCAGGACAAGATGTGGTCTGGTCTCCACATCAAATAAAAAACAGAAAACTGCATGTGGATCACTGCTTGAAGAGCTAAATATTACCATTATCCTTTTATACATTTTTATAATTTCATTTTGTATAGTTTTTTCGCTAATAAGTCATAATAAAAGTTGTTTCTTCTTGGTTGTCTATTGTGCAGTGGCGTTTCCTGACATTGCTGACTTTCTGTCCCAGTTCAAATATTGTCCGCCATCTTCTATTAGAATTTCATTTTGATAAACGTGTCAAACACATTGTAAACAAAATGGTAAGCGTCAAATTTACTTTATTTACCCTTCACTTAGACTAATTTAAGTCATTTATCAGTGAAACATTTCAAATATGGAAATTTCTCAATGAATAGAGATTTGGGTGAGAGTTTGTTTTGGAGCGTTTTTCACTTGAATATACATCCCAGTAGGAGACTCGAGACGATCAAGTTTGGAGCCAGTTTGTCGCATATTGGAGCAGCTTTGCCACGGAGACACCAAAACATAAAATATCGATTGGGTTTCATGGATGGTGATTGGATAATTTCTCGGGTGGGTTCGACGTAAGTGGTTCGTGGTGTCACTTGCTTTTTGCCATTAGAAAAAACGATGGCGATGAGTCATAAATGAACGCCCGTAAATCTATAACTATAGCAGGGCCATGACCATGAGATTTCAAGTTCATTTCGTTTTGATAAATTTCTTAAAGTGTTTGTCAAATTTTAGTTGTGGACACTTGGACGTATGCAAATTTACGAGTTAGGTATTTTGAACATTTTTATATTTTTACGATTAAAAATCTTTTATTCAATTCTCAATTCGAAGCGAGTCAAAATACCTGACACAAGGAAAGTGTCTTTCACTTTTCAACTGAGAGAAATAATGCATGTCATTGTATCCACTTATTTTTGTGCTTTTTGAAATGCTATTTTTTGAAAAATTGCTATTATTATTTTAGCTGGTTGTATAATAACTATCATTGCCTAGTCACCGAGCAGAAAACCATTAATTCATGTGCCGTCAACAGACTTGACTAGCAACCAGCTTTGCGAATTCGACTGTTTTTGCCTCGAGCGATAAACAGTACAAAGAATCAATATTTGAACTCTTTTCCTTTATCTACTGCTGGCTAGTTCCTTTGGGAGTCATAAATAAGGTCTATTCWTGAGAACTCTCGTAGATTTTTGAAATATTATAACGTTCAGCTACAAGCTATCTTTAAAATGACTGCAAAGCCAAAGAAATATAAATCCAGGTTAATTTCAACTCGTGAAACACGATTCGTTAAAACATCCTAATATATTGTATCCCATTAGGTGAAATTGAATGGCGGAAAATMTGTCTTTTATTTCTTTTTAACATGACAGAGAAATCACTAAGAAAATAATAKTTGTCCTCTTAAATGTATAAGAACTTGGCAACAAAACGATCTTTTTCAAGGTTTTATAAGTCATTCATCTTTTGTCAAACATTCAATCCATCTGGTTAGTAACTTTAGTGTTTCCTTTGGATATGCGGTTATTAAGTTTGGAAGTGGTTTTCCAATGTTATCTTGTCTCTAGTTAATGGCTATATCGAGTAATGGACAGGACCACATCGGACCCGATCCAAAACCTGTATAACTGGTTAGGATAACCGGTTTTCTCATTCAAACAGCAATTCGAAGTTTGATTGCGTCGAATAAAAAGTAAATGGTTGAATTAGAAAAGAAAGAACGAAATTAAATTTGAGAAAGGGATACTTATAATAATTAAGAAATGAAAAGGAATACTTTATTTTATTAAATTACTAACGATGAATGGAAAGATAAAAAACAAAACAAATAATTTTCATCAGTGAATAATATAACTGAATAATAACGATGTTTTTAAGAAGGCCGGAAAAAATTAGCCATTACTTCAACGAACAATACAAATTTAGAAGAATAMCAAGGGATAAAAAAGGTTATATGGACAATTCGCTGGTTGGCTACACGCCCACGCGACTAGACCCAAAGGGAGTATGGGTAAATTTCTGTCAGTATCGTTGAAAGATTTCTATACATGATCCTTTTCTGTCAATTAGGGTGAAAACGATCAGCGGTTGAACCAAGGTAACGCTTTTTAAAAAAGCATTACATATTTTTCATATTTGGTTTTGTCACATTGCTTATGATGCGGATGACGATAATGATGATTGTAATCTAGAAATAATATCGATAATAACAGATCATTTCATCAGTGGAATGAACTTTAATTRTATAAGAAGACAATGATGAACAGTAAGGCATTCTTCCATTTCATATCAAACCAGTATGACAGAAAACYAAGTACGTTATTAACGTGTACTTTCATAAATACAAAACACGAATGAGTACACGAGTCCAGTGATAAATTCAARACTTGTGTTCAAACAATCCAACTCTCTCAATAGTACACATCCTTTTCCGATTTGTTTTTAAACAAAATATCCCCTTTTTCTAGCGGAGCATTTGTAGAAATTTCCGTTCTCAGTGTCCCAAAAGCCCATTTAGGTGGATCGCAAGCCGAAGCGGAAAGCAAAATTTACTATTTTTGAAAACATCCGGAAACTTCGGCGCAACAGAAAGTGCATAATTTGCGAGGGAAAATGATTCGGGTCGTTCGCTTGCACAAATTTATGATTATTTATTTATTTATTTATTTATTTATTTATTTATTTATTCAAACGACGTGCAAAGAATGATCAATATCATCATAGAAAATCAATCCGTTATGTATTTATTATTATCATGAATTATAATTATTATTATTGTTATTAATATGATTATTACTTTTATTATTATTGTAAATGTGGTATCTATTAAAGAAGTTATTTTGCAATAAAATTATTTTTATTATTTTTTAATGTTCTTTTTTGCTAATTTGTAGATATATTATAATGAATTCGTATAGCGTATAGATTAAATAATTAGTTTTGTATAAAATTGTTAAAAGTGAGGTTTTCTAGTCAGTAGATTTTGGGATTCCATTTATTGTGACATGCGTATTGTGTTATTGTTATCCAGTATGTTGTCATACATAAATTTCATATGGACTCAACCATTGGACTATAACTAATTTGTCAAGTCAACCATTTTATCAAAATATGTCAATAAATAGCTAGATCAATAAATCACAATATTGGGACTTGTGCGTTGACACTGCCAGAGGGCAAAACTAAATCAATCAATCAAAACGATTGATCTATTAGTCAATTATTTTGTCACTCAAACATTCATTCGACAAGTGAAACAACATTCTTTCTATTCATCTGTCACTCATGTCTTCATGAGCTTTTTGTTCACACCACAATATTCTATATTTGTCATACTCACGTTTTGAAAAGGGCTTTGTTATGACCCACTAGTGCTAGAGCACACCTTCAATCTTATAATTGCTCGTTTTCAATCATTCTCATGAGAATCAGAAGAAAAAAGACCGGCGGCCATGTTGGTTGAATGAGCAGCAGATACTTTGATATGAGAAATAATTTTCTGAAGTTCAAGATGGCCGCGTTGACGACGTTCATTGCAAACGAAGAAAAACACATTTTTAAAGGGCTACATGCATCCGGGAATGATCGCACAGGTTCTCGAATGCAAATGAACACTACTGAGTATTMCATGGCATGGCTCGATGTTACATACRTTTTGTCACGCACTCAAACGTCCTCCATAGGAACCAGTTTTTACAAAAAAACAAACAAAAAAAACCTAGAGATCCCTATTTGTAAAGACAGAAAGATTATTTTGAAGAGAAACGAAACATTTCTACCTAGTACTCAGTATTATGATTCATCTCAGTCAAATTCTCAACACAGGAACTCCAAACGGTGATGTGATTGAGTTATGATCAAGTACAATCAGTGGACTTTTCTTATTTAATGTGAAGCATGTCTTTACTAAAGTGGCACCGTGACAAATGCCACAACTTGCTGTGTTAAGCTCCTCTACAAACTAGAGTGTTCTAGAAAAATGCATTTTTCTATCGAATACATTATTTGTTTCCGAGTACTGTAGGGATTTTCTTTAATGGGGGATATTCAGTTATCTTCTTTGTAACATGACTTAAACATAAGTCCATAGATCTCATCGAGACAACGCGTCTAACAAATGAATTACCCATGATCCTSTAGTGGCTCGTTCAACAAAAGCATCAAGATTGTGTGTTTTCGCCTGGTGTGAAAGATACCGAGATGGCGCGAACTTTTTTGATTTTTTTTGTAAAATATAAGGGAGCTACAATGCTATGGATGGAATCCTCACATTGTCCATTTTGGGTACACCCTGTGATTTCAAGTCACATGATTGGCTAATAATAGGYAACAATAACAAAAAAACAAGGTGGTATTTTCGTGGAATGACACTATAATACAAAACATTGATACATTTTTTTCTGGATATTTTAGAAGAAAATTTGAAAACGTTTCTCGAACACTGTATCAAAGGAGTCAGGTAGGATAGTAAAGAGATAAAAAGGGCCTGGGAACGAGGTTGGGTACCTTTATAGAGACATACCAAGGTCTAGTTTGCAGTTTTGYGCAAAAATCTAGATTATTTAATGACAGTGGATCAGACAGTACATCAATTTACGGCAAAACGTTACTTTTTGTGGCCACCCGACGCCTCTGACTGTCCTGTCATTTTCCCGCCAGCCCATATCAAACACAGACATGCGCGCCACTGCCTGAAGGCATAAAGTCCTTATCATTGTATGAATCGTCACAAAAGCGTCTTTGAATTGTTTTAGTTTCCTCAAGGAATTGTATGAAAACAATGCAAACAATGAGGATGATTATTTAGACCATTAGTTAGATTGTAAATCTGTCCTAAGTTGGTTATTTTGGTAGCGATGAACCAAAGCTTTATAAAGAATTACTTAATTTGATTATTCTACCAAAACTATTATTTACTTCAGGATGCGTTTGATATATAGTGGTATGTTTTCATTACGCGTTATATAAACGTCATACCACAGCAGTCTCCTACGCAGCCCACCCCAACTGAACGTTTGGACTTCCTGCGTTAAGTCTGACCGAGAAGAACTGGCTCGGGTAGAGAAAGAAAAATAAGGTTATWGCAGGGGAGTCGCAGCGTGTTTTGCTATGTGTGGATTCAGGTCTAATATTATTCAAAACGAAAATTTATCAATATATTTTAAGACTTTTTCAAAAAMACGAGGAAGCCCTAGTCCCCATCCCTAGTTGAGCTGCTCGTCGTATTTAAGGAATAAAAAACAGTTTTCCGTGTATTATACTCTGATAAAAACACGCGGGATGTGGGGAGAACACGAGAGAAGCGTAGCGTGTTTTTATCAGAGTATAGTACACGGAAAACTGTTTTTTATTGCTTTTATAAAATAGCAAGTGCTCAAATATTCATGAGAAAAAAAGCCGACCAAAACAAAATGACGCGAGCGTGTATTATGCTCTCATCAAACACGGCTTTTTGGCCAATCAGAGCGCGCGTAATATTAAAGTTATTTTATAAAGAGAGGTACGTCACGACCACCCCTTTAGCTGCATTCTCTGACTTGACACAGTAATCCCAAGCTAGAGGATTGCTAACTTTGCTTAAAATAATTTTGACACGACTGTTTGGTTTTTAAGGTGGCCAATACGTATGCCTTCCTTCCTCGTGAAGCAGTTTCGTACTACCTAATGAGCTGCAGTATCTGCAAACTACGGATTCAACGATGCAACTCCATTCTACTTAAGCATGGAAGACCAGTGACTCCCACTTCTGATCTGGTACGTACAAAATCCTGCACTGATATGCCTATTATAAGCTTATTATAAGCTTTGATCCAAGATAAACGAAAAAGGTTCAATAAACCAATCAAAACTTTACTTGCAGAAAAAAACAACAACAACAAAACAACAAAAACAAAAAAACAAAACAAAACAAAACAACAAACAAACAAACAAAAAGCCTGGAGGGAGGGGGGGAATTCCGTCCGTTATGACACCGGAAAGCAAGATCACAGACAGAAAAAAAATGCAGACTTGAGCTTTAAAATAAAAAAAGATTGCGGACGATTCAAAGTTTTGAACATTTTATGACGTCAAGAGTGTTTCAATAAGAGGACATTTGTTTTTCACCACATTTTTGCTTAGGAAACAATTTCGAAAATCATTCCCATTGAGTGCGTGATGTTGTCAGCATAGTGTGAATGCCCTCTCATTGACGCATAGTGTGGTAAAAACGGCTTCTTGAAGATGGAGGTGTACTCTCGAGTCATTTGTTTTGCAAATTTACGTGAGAGATAGAGACTCCTTCAGGCTACCCGGGAACCAGCTCCGTAGAAGTAATTAGCTTACTGAAAAGTGCAAAACTTCGAAGTCTCAATGCAGCGATTTCTGCAAGAACATTATTTTATAGTTTTTCCAGACAGTTGCATTATTATTCTAGTCTTTGATACTGTTGGATGTAATTGCCAAGAGAAGGAGGGAAAAAATGGAATGGAGATGACATCAGGACTCACTGGTCGACCTCTCCGACATCATGACCGCATTATTGTTATTGGGATCCCGATGTACAGTGCTGATTGTGGTATATTTAAGCGATCTATGAGCGTCCAGGTCTAATTTTGTGTGAATTCCAAAGGCTTTCCTTTTTTCTAGATGGTTTTCTGTTGTATTTTTCGAGTTAAGTACTGATGTAAAAGAGAGCAAAGAGCAAAAATACTAGAAATACAAATGAAAAGAATCTAGAAAAGAAGAAAGAACGTTTGTAATGATAAAAGGATAATAAAAAAGGACGTTTGAAACACACCACAATTTCCGATTGAGGGGGCTGACCTTGGCCTGTGAGACGTGCCAATTTCTTTATTTTGAGGGAAGGTATATATGGTTTTTTAGAAAATATAATCCATGAAAAACGCCCTCAGTACTCACAGTATGTTATATAACTTGGCGATCAGAAACAAGTAAGCGGTGTAGGGAGGGACAGGAAATACTTAACTGAAGATTTTTTTATGAAATCGGTACTAATAAAAACATAAAAAAAGATCTGACGATGATTATAACCAGTTAAAAATCAATAAAGTTAATTTTTAGTAAAAAAAAAACGCTCCAGGAGGTTGCAAAAACAACAGTGCTCAAGTGCGAATCAATCCTTAAGGTTTCAAGCTATTGTCTCATGATTTTCATGCTCTTGAAAAGTTGTCCTTATAGTCCTTTTAACTGCCRTTCAAAGCCGCAATCGATATATTTGTTGCAGTACATATTTCCCTTTCTATAMCGCTGGCCTACCAGATCCCAGATAAATGAATATACCACAGTTATATCATTTTTGTTGCAATGGGACTTTTTTTCTTTTTTGCGCCTTCTGGACGGAGCGTATGCTAATTATKTCTACGAAGTTGTTTTCGGTAGCCTAAAGGAGTCTACCTTCGCAAATTTTCAAAGCAAACGACTCGTGAGTAGACCTTTATCTTCAAAAATAAAATAGAAAGCGTTACAAAACAACTGCAAAGTTTTCTCAATCTTTWTTTCTGTAATTTTCTTTACGTTGTTATACTGGAAATAACAATTAGTCCCGCCTCCGCTCATAAAAGACGAAAATCCAAACAAATTGGTTGTTTTCCCTTCCTTTCACATCCTTATTCGTACTAATTTTTTGCAAGGCTTTAGTTTCGCAATTTGCAAAAAAACAAAAAAACAAAAAAAAAAAACAACATTAACATACAAAAAAAACAAAAAAAACAAAACAACAACAACAAAACAATACAAAAAGCCCCGCGAAATTAGAAAAAGTCTAAAAAAAAGACATCAATTTCCAAAGCAATTGTTTGACAAAAACATATGCTGTCCCGATTTTACCTTCGAAATCATGTGTTCTCAAAATAGGGTACTGTCGAATATTTGATCAGCTATAGTCATGAATTGCCATTATTTTTATCATTAGTTTAAATTTTCATTTTGTTCATTATAATTGGTCARCCAATCCAAATACAAATACTGTACAATAAAAAATTAAAAGCCTAAAATATCATAACACTGAAATTTGTGGGTTCGCTGTGCCGTGATGTTTTGGCTAGACTTTCAGCGGTTGCGCTTGGGCATGCGTATTGTGTTAAAGATGCCGGTTTGTCCACGTGACCAAAGGCTGGCTGACAACAAAGAGCCAAGTCGGTTCACTCATTGGTATTCCTTGTTTCGTCTGGTTTCGTCTTCTCATTAGAATTCTTCATTGTAAAATTGTTCCTGGCTCGTTGTCGATCGAACGGCCTAAGACGAATAGGTTATCATTTTAACCGAAAGACGGCRAATTTAAAGGTTTAAAGACGAAGGCTTTCAGGGAAGAGACGAGCTTGTCCGGTGGTAAAGTTGGGGTGCGGTGAGATAAGGCTTCGTACCCCTTTCTACCCCATTCCAAATCAACAAGCATGTCCAAAGCCCTTGCGGCCATTGCCAGAGCGAAATCAGACCAGCTTCTCAAGGTATTTTGTGCTATTTGAATCGCTATATGATTTTACTTGAGTTTTTGTGTAGTCAGACGGTCAGAAGATGATATTTTAAAGCATTTTGAGCGAGTTTCGTAAGCGATTGTTTCTCTACCGCGCCGCTTTGGTAAAGGAGGCGAAGGGGTGAAATGATGGAGACACCGTTCATCTGCTGCGGAAGTTGCTATTTTTTCTTGAATTTCTATGCTAGATCTCTCTCAGTAAAGTAGTACATTTACCATTCGACAAATGCCTGGTGATTTTAAGGCTTTTTTCGAGTCATATTCGTTAAATGGACGGGCTTAGACAACCGTTGTAGTTGCACGCCAGATGACACCCCTGTTCAATTCTTTCAATGAAATAGGAAACAATGACAGCCCCGCATTCAAATTATTTCGCAGATGTCTAGTCGATTAGCTAGCAAGTTTCTTKCTAAGGTACATTTACTTTGGAAGCGGAATCTGAAGCTTTGTGTGTCTTGATTACAGCTTGATTGAACTGGTCGACAAGAAAGCAGGAAAAGTTTGGCCTCTTTCCTTCAAACATGAAATATTCATAACTCAATAAATGCAGTGGACAAATTAGTGGAAACCCTTGCCGAATTMTTCTTGTAGTCTCAGGTTTTATCGATGAAATTCTGCTTAAATTAGAAATCCAATTCCAGTATAAGTCTTTAATTTTCGTTGTTATTTGAGGCAAAAATTTCCAATCACGCCATCAAAATTCAAGTAGACATCACCGTKTACCGATCGCGAACCTGAATGTAGACAAACTTGCACGTATGTAAGCTTATATTTTTTTTCCGATCCCAAAATGGTAGCTTTTTGAGCTATGTTAAAATCTAAAGGTATTTTGTCGAGTGTTTAGGGGTTAATAAAATTTTGTTTTAGTACACATTAATGGTAAATTCAACCACTTGTCCAAATTTCGCTAAAAGGCATCTACAAGGGGGTAGATTGGCAACTGGGGTGGGCCACGATTTAGAACAGACAAAATATTCCTTGTATGGACAGATGTTTCTTTATTTCGCGCTATTTTTTTCCATTTTCACAGTTATAAAAAAGCTTATGTATTCATCGTASTACATAACCAGTCACTTGTACTTTGACACCAAACATTTTAGAAAATTTGTACGATTTTGTGAATATAAGCTTTTAAGTATTCTTAGTGATATTTTTGCATTTTCGTATAGAAGCACAATTTGCAAGTGTAATTTCATTTGCATGTTCCAATATTATTTTTAGGGCCAGAGGAAAGCCTATTAGGTGCAATAATGTTATTTTTAAGATTATTAATACGATGAGAATCCAATGCTARATGTAGCCATCACAGGAAAACTCAAACAGAAATGTTTTGTATTAGATGAGATAGCATGATTCACGTTGAAAACATTCATGATGAAGTTGTAGTTGAACCCATACCAGGGATGTTTTTCAAGATTAGAATGGAAAATTTGCTAAAAAGCACTCTATATCCATTTTCAGACATTTGTAAATATCAACACAGGATATTTAAAAGTGTCTGAAATTTATATATATTCACTTTGTCTTATTAGATTTCATTGACAACCAACAAAGTTTTGAATTCCAACTGAGTATAAGAACTTGTTTGAACTCTCCCTTTCAATTCATTAGAAGTATCCATTTCCTATATCTATGTATTGCCTTTGTGATTTTTTTTTGTAAATGAATTTGCTTTGGTTTTATTGAACTTTGCAAAAATAATGAACTGTAATGCAAATGACCTGTGGACAATTATTAAAGGTAATATTATTTGTGTTTATTGCAAGGTCACTATACTATTTATACTTCATATCTCTCTGAGATGTTATCTGATATTGAAAATTATGATATGGCTGTATATTTCTCAAATTGTTTAGCAAAAAAAWTTTTGTTTTACTTGGCTTGAGCACTATTTTTGGAAATGTGGAAACGTGCAAATGATGATGGACGCTACTCTTTAAACTCTTAAAAAAGAAAAAAAATTAACTGGACAAAGACATTTCAAATGTTTTAATATTTCAAGTAGTGTGTTTTCAAGTGACTCAAGTTGGTACTTTTTAACACATTTTAGTTCTTTGAGAATAGATAATCCAAACYTATTATAAGAGAATGATGACGTTATTGGTTAAGAGACTTTATAAAGAATAAACATTGTCTCAATAATACACTTTTAAATCATTATAAATGATAGACAAAATTGTGATTAGTTGATATGATAATTTGAAAAGGTAGAAACACTCTCGTAGACAAATTCAAAAAAAGTGATGAACCAATTGGAATGGTAATTGTAGAATGGAAAAATCTGTCATATTAAAAATGATGTATTGCTGTATGGACAAGAAGCGTGTCAGTATAGAACAACTGTTGTTCTCCATCTTTAACTAAAAGATAGGGGGTAGACAAATCTGTCACTCACTCACTCAATAGTTAACAATCTTCAAGTTGTGCCACTAGTGATGGCTTGATTATCAATTGGTCTATTTTCTAAAAAAAAATGAAGAATTAACATTTTTGTTGTCATTTTAATGTGCAGGAATCATCAGATGCTGAAGCATCCATATCCAGTCATGATTCTGATGATGAAAGTTATGGACTTAGAAGATTCAAGAAAGAGCCACCAGATGTTGTTTATGAAGAGAATGGAGAAAGAAATGGTATGCTGACAAACAGAGATAGTGCTGAAACATCAATCAATGGAAATCAGGGAAACCTTGTATCCAAAGAAGGTAAGCTCTTCCATTTTTCTATAGCTATCTGCAAGAAAACAATATTTTGATGCCTGGGGGCATTTACCAAAAAGTGTAAAGACCTTTGCTTCTAAAATGTTACATGGTTCAATTACTTAATCAAATGTGGACTCTAATAGCCAAATATGTTTTAATGTTTTTTGTTTTGTTTTTCTTTCATTGGTAATCAATAGCCATAGCATACAATGTGGTTTGAAAAAAATAATTTTTCCATACAAGTTTTCACCATTCTTGGTTGTAGAGTGCAAGYACTAAAACTATGAAATATCTTGCTAATTAATTAGTATGAAATTTTACTGTTTAATCTCACTATTTAGAACTATTTGGTTGGTACCTTTTCAGTGTTAACACTACATATATAATTTGTTCATTTTTGTTATTTTTGAATGCATGTTGTAGTCAGAAGCCTAAAGCATTAATTTTTTAAAAGCTATTTATGCCAAATTGTCTCTATACTGTATTTTCAATTATTTTTGTTCAAMATATCATTGTGAAAGGTCCATTGAGAAATATATTAGTGGTCGTCACTTTTAATGGGAAAATGCGTATTTCTAGTATAAATGTTGTCGACTCTGCATATTTTTAGTACTATAGAGCAGAACTTGTATGGTTGTGCACAGGCATAGTTCATAGCATGAAAAAACACAGTATAGACACAAACATCTGAAAGGAGTGAGGTTGTAATAGAACCATCACTCCAATTCAGGATGTCTAGGTACTACCTCAAAATTGTAAATTTTTGTGGTTTACTTTTTCTCAAGAAAATACTTGCAGCAAAGCTCTTAAACTGCAAAATATRACCATTCAGCTACCTACCTGTTAGAAATAAATTATAGAAATAAAATATTACCTCTCTGTTAATGTATATATACACATATATAAGAAGCCTTCAGGTCATTTTTGGTATTGCCACTTATTTTTCTGTTTTACATTAAGGTTTTAAACAAAATATCAAGCTAAGCTGTCAGGGTTAACCAAATTAGCTGTCTCACTTGTTTCTATAGCAATTATCTCTAATAATATATCAAAGTAGAGGAGGATTAGTCTTATTATTATTGATACCAATCCATTGTCAGAAAGATATATTTCAAAACAATAATTTCTTAAAAATACATCTTCTGGAWCTCTGAGGTTATCTTCCTGCCCTTAGTTCTTTGACCCCAGAAATAATACCTCTCAGACCTTGTTCTGAAGTTGGAATCACCTGCTGAGGCTGATTGATCACAAGTCAATGCATTTTGAATGACTCTAAAATTCCACATAGATCATATTGTAGAACTTTCATAGCACTTAAAAGGGATTCATTATCTTTTTGAATAAGCATAAGAGTGATTGATGTACAGGCACCTGTGTCCCAAACAATTTACTGTCATTTTTATTAAGTAAGACACAAAATAACCAGTGGTAATAAGAGATAAAATATGTGACACTATACCACCGATAGCCGTCTATTAAAACCCATTACTTCAGTGCTCAAACTTAAGCATAAAACAAGTTTTTTTTTGCAGTTTTGAACTCATTGAAGATTGACTCCTGAGATCTTATTGATTAATGCCTATGCTTGAGTTTAGATTAAGTTAAAAACTTTCTATTGCGACCTCAATGTATTGAAGTTTGTAAAGATTTGGGTAGTTTTCTATGACTTAATGCACTAGTCAATTGAAACCCCTGCCCCCCTACCCCCAGGGCTGGCAGGGCACTGAGCGGGGATGTGACACGTTATTAATGTGCATTTGATAGCAAGATTGCCCGGGGGTCGGGATTTTGATGAGTTGTTTTCGAAGCGCGGCAAAGAGCTGGGATTTTAACACGCGTTTGAACATGTATGAGGCTGGGAACTAGAGGCCGACCATCTTGAGAAATACCCTGAAAGCATTGGTATTCAAATCTGTTTTTTTATTTTTCCTTGCATGAAAATTTTTTTTAAAGAAACTTATTACACATGTTTTTCTCCATCCAGTTAGCCTCATGTAGTACATAAATGAATACACAGGATTGTGCAAAAATTAACCCCATATGTATCATAGAAAATGAAAGGTGTTTGTTTTGTTAYTTACTACTAGACCAAAATARCAGGGCAACARTAGCGGGGATTTTTACAACGAATGTCCCCCGACTGCCAGGGGYAATGTTTCATTTTAACACCACTCAAATGTTAATTCCCCAGTATTCCCCCGGAGTCGGGGGGTGGGGGTTTCAATTGACTAGTGCATAAGGCAAAGTTTCGATCACTCAATCAATGCACATTAATTTGGGTTATTTGAATAATATATATTAATACATAATTTTTTTAGATGCTATAATTACTGAATTTTRATGTGTATAAAGGTTTTTGAGACATCTTGGTCATGATACAAGGGGTTTCTTTGTAATTTACTGGCCACCAGTTTGAATTTCGTAACTAGAACGAGGTCTAGCAGACTTTTTCCCAGGAGTATTATTCCCAGGATCAAGAAAGAAGGCTAACACTGTGATTGTGGGAGTGTTTAATAAGAACAATTCTTTTCATATCAATGTAAATGAAGGCTTTTTTCCCAATATTTTAACCTAGGTTATCAAACATATTCATCAGACCATAAACAAGAAGTCATTAATTATGCAAAAGAAACAACTGTAAGAGAGGCTGCACGCAAGTATAACGTACCAAGATCAACAGTGCAAGTATGGTGCAAACATGGGGCAAGTGTTAAGAAAGAGAAACGCTCACCACTGAGCAGTGGTGGGAGACGGTTAAGCTACTCAAGTGAAACTGATGATAAATTGTTACAATGGGTAATAAAAGAACAAGAAAATGGAACTCCTGTTACCAAGGATGCCATTCAAGTGCAAGCTAGACACATGGTGCGAGATGAGTGTCCAGATTTCAAAGCCTCAAGTGGATGGGTAGAGAAGTTCATGTCACGTCACAATCTAACAATTGCCACAACAATGTCATCTTCTAGTGGTATGTGTTTAACAACTTTATTGAGGGGTTACTGGAACATCCTAGTCCCCTCTCGCTGATGTTATGAGGTTCGTTCCCAGGTCTTTCCCAGGTTAGGGGAGAGTGACCTGGCAAGAAGCCTCGTTATGGATGCGAGAGGAGACTAAGAACATCTAAGTGTTAATCATATTATGGTATACATGGTAAAGATATTGTTTCATATAAAGAATGAATAACTTGGACTCTAACATCTGACTGTAGAATAACATCTAACTGTAGAGTTTTCTTAAAATGTGTTGGAGATGTGTAAGAAAATTGCCAGAAACTAAATTTAAAGGTCCAAATGCAATTCTTAGTCTTAGAAAAGACCAATTTCCTTGCAACCAAGTGCAGGGGAGAGAGATCTGCTGCAGGGCTTCCATATACAGATAAGCCTGTACATGGCTGATGAACAAACAGGAAAATACATTGTGCTAAGAAGAATGACCTTTATCTTAGACTGAAAAGAAATTGTTACACCTAAATAGCATTTTTAGAGTCCAGTGAATCAAAGTGACATTATTTGTATTAAATTCTTATTATATATTATCTTTGTTTTTACAGCAATTCCTATTTCTTATGTTATTGCATCACCTGCATCAGCACCAAGCCCTATTGGAGCCAATCACAGCTCTTACAGCCCCAGAGCAGATGGAAGAAGCTGTACTAGTGAAGATACAAGGAGTGACAGTGGACGAAGTGATGAAGAAGATGACATTGATGATGGTGCAGCATCCCTTGACAACATTCCACCTACTGTTAACCAATCAGTGATCAGGGTTAGTCATATAATTTACATARCTGTAACAGGTAGATCAGGTAGATCAAGTGGTTCTGAGTTTTGAAAATTAGCATATAATATAGTTTTTGGTCTCACTAGAGTGCAAACACTAAAACTGTGCAACATAATACTAAATAGTCGGTTTTAATCATTTCTGCCATATCCTATTAAACAAAAACAGTATTTAGCTTTGGGTCCGCTTTTTYCTATTAGTAATAAAAGCTATCTTCTACAGTCAATCACCATTAACATTGTTCACTTGTAAAGACATAAAGACAACARCAAAGTCACTTGTATWAATATGTTTTAMAAATTCCCAGGAATTATTTTTTTATTACTCCAGATAAATAGCAAATTACTGAAATGTTACTGAAATTATAATGTATTTTTGCAACTTTTATGTTGAAAGTTCTTGCAAAGTATCACAAAATACTGTATGTGCAAGTGAATTTGTTTAACTGAACARCATCAAGACTGTATCATTCATGTATTATGTGTTCTTCACCTCATTCCTTTCTTTCAGGAACCACCAAATATCAGTGAGCTTCTCAAACCCTCCACAATGGGAAGCTCATCAACCAGCAACATTAAAGATGATGATGATGATGATGGTGAAGGGGAAGATGGTGATGGTGATGGCGAAAAGAATGATACTGGAGTTGTAAATCCTGAAAGACTAAAAGCATTCAATGTAAGGTTCTGATGATAAATCCATGGCACTATGTATAACCATACAGTACTACTACTAATACATATATTGAAAACAAAGAATCAGTTATAAGGACTTCATTGTTTGTTTAAATATTCAAACAGTGTTCTGACMAGGCTGCATCATTGYGGGATTCATGYATAAAAAAAGAAATGGCCCATAAATTTACACTTAATGCGCTGTAAATGGCGYCTTTATTGCCAATACATAGAGTACTTTTTAAAGTGATAAAAGTCTGATTATATTGTCAATAAACATGGTGAAAATGCACRTAAAAGTCACAAAGAATGACAYAWAYRCGAACGTCGTCGCCATCTGATTTCACTTGCTGAAGAGGCCTGGCACTGATCTAAGTTTTAACTGACATTGGTCCTTGAAGGCTCAAGTATGGCTTCTCAAACRTACTGAATGACCTCTAATTTTTGGACTGATGGGCCCTTTGACCCACTGAAAGACAATCCTGGTCAGAACATTGTTCAAATATTTTTCTTGCAATAATCATTTTGTTATAYGTACTTCTAAAACTCTACAAGCAAAGTGTAAAAATATTACATATTCAGTGAAAAGGGATCTGCAAATGCAGAAAGATGAAGTGTCAGCAAACATTATAAAATATCCTGTATACAATCTCAATCAGTATTATGGTAATGTCTTCTTTACCAAAGAAGGCAGAAAGTTCTATCATAAAGATTATTTGAAAGTGGTTGGTTTCAGTGAAAACACATGAAGAAAATGGTTTTTTAAATTACAAAAATGATCACATTATAAACTAATACTATTGTTCTTTTAGATGTTTGTAAGACTATTTGTTGATGAGAATTTGGATCGACTTGTACCAATATCTAAACAACCAAAGGATAAAATCCTTGCGATTATCCAATCCTGTCAAAGGCAGTTTCCTGAATTTCGTGATCGAGCCAGAAAAAGAATCAGAACATATCTCAAGTCATGCAGAAGATTAAAGAAGCTAAAGGAGCCATTGAAACGCACAGCAGATCAGATGGTAATGAGAACATTATTGATATATACCATGTTTTTATCATAAACTCTTGTTATAACACTTTTGTGGGTTAATATAAAAATGTCTTCTTTACTGGTAAGTTAGAATGCAAGAGTTTAAACCATACATGCACTTAACTTATAAATAAAGTATAGTAAGTATGATAATAATGGCATA